CTCCATCCCAATGATTATTACTCGTGGGCTCTTAAATCCACCTTGCACGACTAAAGGGGTTTCCACGGATTTCTTCCCTACCCTCTATTGATGAAACATGAACTTGGACACCCGAGCTGGCGTACTGACCTTTTGTGTGGACGGTCAAATTTAAATCGTGATTCAAAAGTGACACCTCAGGCTCGTGCTGTACGTTGGTTGCATATGGTTATCTTTTTGATTTATACTCCTAAAGTCACCTCCCAATGAATGTAGTTTATTGTGTTTTCTACATATTATGTGTTCGCTTTTGTGAAAACTTGAGATTACGTTACACAAATCCCGAATACATCGGTCACACACGTGCGTTTTGAGTCGTTCAGCTGTTAAAAAGCTCGGCTTATGCAATTGTCATAGTTAAAACGTGTGCTACAGGATCGCTGGCATAGATCCGTAGCACAATTTTGAGGGAACAGCTCGTGAAAAACGTATTCTTAATTGATTGGAAAATGAAGGGACCTGCTTAAGCGGTCAAGTATGACGGTGTTGACTTGTTGTGCACCCCTTGCTATATAAGACAATTCAGCAGGGCAATAACTCAGGACTGCAACCTTAAATTATCGGCATCTCGCAGTAGAGATGACTACTCCTTTGTCTTGGAATTACGGTATACTTGTTTGATCAAAGGCGCGAACATTATTTAAAAACGCGTGATTGCTAGTTACGATTATGTTCAGTTAGAACCCTGTCTTGGGCTGACTGCTTCTTATACGCTGTTGTGTCTTGACTCATGAATGACTGCACTACAAAGAAGCAACAGCGTTTGGATTCTGCGAGACCCATCAACAATTCACGCGTTTATGTCGCTTTATTTATAGTTTCATGTGCGCACCTCTTCCACTTTAAACGTAATTCTCCTTACTTTCACTAGTCAGCGAATTATCTGAAAAGCAGCTAATTATTGCAGTACTCGTATTTTCGGTCAAATTTGCATAAATTCCTAGCGTTCGCCAGACGAAGCTGGTATTATCCGTACTGTCGTAGCACGTGACCGAATTTTACAATGCGTCCCGTGCTAAGGTCCATTATGAACTCATATAAAGAGACAATTATTCTGTTCAATCTGACCTTTCTGAGAATCCTGAAAAGGTAGGCATGAGTTTGCGGAGATTGCCAGTAGTGCGGCACTACAGGACACTGTGGTTTAGAGTTAGACTTCCTGTCGGATAGTGTGCAGTCTACTGTCAAGTTCACTAAATGTGGGAATCTTTTTGTCCTTTTTAGTGGTTATAATACTTGGTGAGCTGAAGTCGTCACTGAACACTTTGTTTATTTTGTAGCAAAGTGTTTCACAATCAATGCTCTGCGAATGCGTCTTGCATGCGGTAACCTTACTCGGTGTGGGCAAACAGTAAAACTTCGCTAAGAAACTGTTACTGTTTGCCAAGCAAACTTATGCTGATGGTTGCATGGTCCACCGACACAATATTTCCTAAAAAGTGGTGGCCGGTCTACTTAATTTTGCCGACGGTAACGTTGGTCTCATAATAACACAGTTGGACCAATCAAATACAAAGGTTTTCTGACGTGCCTTTCGCTGTCAGATTAACATGTAGTTACACGAATCCATTTACCTATTCTGAGAAACATTAAAACTAACAAGTGAACCCGTCATCATAGCTTAACTAATTTTGCATGTGGCATCGAGTTTGTTATGGTCTGTTATTTCGTTCGAACTTGTCCTTGGGAGTGATTGCTATTCGAGGGGCAGAATCGGCACACGAAGGTATCAGTATTTCC